GATGACAACTGATAAACTCACAAGGTTGCATGGGAAATTAAGATAATTTTTACAGTAAAAAAGAAAGTTAATAGTTTTTTTCTAAAGTTTCCAGAAAATACCTGGAGAATAAATATGGCCATTCTTAGATCCTCTAGGCTTGGGCCTTAAGCATGTGGCCCCTTGCTGATTCACGTGCTTCCCTGAATATATCTCTGTAGAAGAGAGTGTCTCTTCTATAAGGTGGCTCCCACACGAGCACTGCTGATTGTGCTGGAACTTCTCATTCTCAGCTTGGAGAACTTTGAACCAGTCTCTGGAACGAGAGGTTTCCTTCCCCCACAATGTCCTCCTAAGTCAGTCCTTAAAAGACGGGTCACTAGCAGGATGACTTTGGGGATACTTAAGCTACTTGCTGAAGTATGCAGGCAAGGTGAGGGGGTTCCTCCTGCTAATAGAAGGGTTTATTTCTTGTTTGTTTTTTATTTCTCCCCAATTAAAAATGTTTCTCTCAGCTGGTCAGTGCCTTTAATTCCAGCACTAGGGAGGGAGGGCAGAGAAAACCTGTTTTTTTTGGGGGGGGGGAGAGTGGACAGCAACAGAAATGTTTAGGCCTTCCATGTCATGGCTGCTGATTTTCCTGGTTAAAATTTCATCTCAAAAAGCTTTCTGAAGCCAGGCCATTTGGTGTACACCTTTGATCCCAGCACTCAGGAGGTAGTGGCAGGAGGATCTCTTGAGTTCCAGGACAGCCTGGTCTACAGAGTGAGTTCCAGGACAGCCAGAACTGCACAGAGAAACCGTCTCAAAAAACAAAAATAGATAATTTTTTTTAAGTTAAAAAAGCTTTCCGCTTTCTAATTCTCTGTCCTTTAGTTTATTATACTAAATTGGGTGTTCTAAAGGCTAGAGCTGAAGACCACCCCTATGCTGCCCTTGGGGTCTCCCACCCCCATCTACAATAGTGCGTTTCCTGTGCAGAGCTGGGGGAAGCTTGGGTAGGGGTGGATAGTGTAGGGCCAGAACTCTGAGTGAGACCGAGACCGAGACCTGGGTTCCTGTAAATTAACTCGGAGGGTTTAGACCTTGGTGTTTCTGGTGTTTCTTTCCTATCAGAGAAGTGACCTATGATTTATTCCTGCTCTGTGGAGGCAGGATGGGATCTATATCTTCAGTTATTAACTACAGGTGGTTGGCTCTTACACACGTTAGAGTAAGAGCTTACCCCAGAGGTATGATTTGCCTGGGGTAGGGTCTGAATAGTGTCTGAGCCTAGACCACAGGGAAAACAAATCCAGGGAGTTTTAGACCATCCCGGGAGTGGAGGGGGCAGCACAGGGTCTTTGGAAGAGGGTTATGATCAGACCAGATTATGTATTTTGGGGTGGCAAGCAAGAGAATTTCAAGAGACCCTCCTCTCTAATGCGAGACTACATGGTAAGGTTGAGCCAAGACCCATGGCGACAATGTAGTGTGCCCGCTGTCTGGGCAGCCGGTCTAAGGGGCATCCTTCCTAGAGTCTGCATGGAGGCAGGCAGGTGCTTCGGGCATGTGTTTGTTCTCAGTGTGTCATGTAATTGAGCATACTGTTGTGCAGCGTTACCAAACAGAACCTTTTAGGAGGCAAGATAAATACCAATGGGAAGTTCTTTGACCCTGGTTCCCTTCAAGGTTCCCCTTGAAGCAGAGCTTGGCCTCTGCCTCTTTCCACACTTAGGTGATATCCTCGGGGCTCTTGCAATAACCTCCCTCGGCGCTTCCCTTCCGTAGAGAGGTTAGAGTGGGAGCCTGTGGTCTTTGTTCCTCAGAATATAACTGGAGCTTTTTAGATCACATATTCTTAGGTCTGGGGTTTGTTTGTATCTTTAAGGCCATTTACAAGTCACCCAGAGTTGCAGAAGGAGAAGGGGCAGGGGGCTGTAGGGTGGGATACAGTGTTGTGGGAAAGGATCTGCCCATTGCCTTGGGAGGTTCGGATGAGCCCTCATCTGCCTACTGTGGATACCCAAGAGGAGTTGGACTCCCTCTGGGTTGTTTCATCCCCTGGACCTTGGGCAGAAGGAGCGATGGTTAGGGAAGGTGGTGTTGCTCTACTCAGAACACTGCCCACAGCTGGGCGGTGGTGGCGCAAGCCTTTAATCCCAGCACTTGGGAGGCAGAGGGCGGAGGATTTCTGAGTTCGAGGCTAGCCTGGTCTACAGAGTGAGTTCCAGGACAGCCAAGGCTACACAGAGAAACCCTGTCTCGGAAAAGGAAGAAAAAAAAAAAAAGAACCCTGCCCACTCTTTCATTTAAGTGCTGTCTCCAGGGCAGGTCTCCCTCTGAAACCTAGTCATTTTCTCAAGACCGTATTAACAAGTAGAAAGCCAGCTTCTTAGAAGGGGGTATTTTTGGAGTTTGAGCCTGTGAGAGAGGGCTGCTTCTAGGTGTAGGTTGTAACCCAAGTAGCAGCAGTCTCTGGACAGTCAAGGAACCGTAAATCTCTAGGAAGCAGGGAGAGAGAATACTTAGATGTGCCAAGAGGCTTATTAACCACATTGTGCTGTGGCCAGTTCATCTCTTGAATTTAGGGGATGTCTAGTACATCCCATTCTCCTGAGCTGCATCCTAACAACTATTCTCAGGTGAGTTGTTCCCCGGGTACCACATACATGTGATAGAAGCCACATGTCAGGATGAAAGTGTAGAAAGGCTTGGAAGTCTAATTCCACCACGTCCTCGTGGTCCTCCTGCCCCCCATTTAGTTTGTTGTATTGTGAGTCTAAGGTAAGCTAACCATCTAGAGAAACCGTCTCACGGTTTAGCAACCGCTTTATGGTTGCGCCAGAAAAATAACCAGCAAATAATTTCACCCCTTATAATGACTCTTAAGTGGGATGAAGTGGGATTTCTCTTTCAGAGTGTTTGTAGAGCTACTAAAATTCTCACATTTACAAAATAGCTGCTGAAAATATTCCTGGGTGTTCTAAGGAGGGAGCAGCGTGCTGGCAGACATGATCCGGGACTTTTTTTTCTTTTCTGCATCATCAGGCTGGGCTGCAGGCGGAACTTCCATTTTGCAGACTGTCAGGACACACTCTCTGCTTGGCTCAGCCACCTCCTGTTAACAGTGTGATTTGGGGACCACAGACTAGCTGCAGTCAAGTGCTCCCCTCTGCTGGCTTCTACCAGTTGATACCAGTTTTGACAGTCAGCTCTAAGGTTTCCTGCTGTCATCTCAGGCCCAATAAACATGAGCCAGCTAGCTAAGAGTGCACCAGGGCATGAGACTCTCTTGACTTTTATAAAAGACGCAGAATGTCTTAAAATAGTCTGGAAGCTAAAATAACAATAATGGCAATAATAGCTCACCATTTCTGAGCGCGATTGGTTGTTTAAAATCCAAGGCCTTGGTCCCAGCAGCGGTTGGTTCCCACTAGCCAGGCCCCCACAGGAGCAGCTCTGATGGAAAGCATATGTCCCTTCAGGGCAGGAAATGGAGGGTCTGCAGGGCTTTCTCTCCACCCTCTCAGGGATTGATTCCCTGAGCCTTCGCTGGGCCACACACCCCAGGACTTGGTGATTCTTAAAGTAATTAGTGGTGCTATTATTTCCCTGGCTAAATGGTAACAATTAGTTTCACACTTAGCAATTAGCATGGGTCTCTGCCACCTGGATTCTCAGTCTGTTTTCACCGTCTTCCTGCGGGGAGGGTCTGGGGACGGAGGGAAGGAGTCAGCCCTGGTACATCCCAGTGTCGGGATCCTATGTGTCTGGAGAGCAGCTTTACCTCTGAATTGGGGTTATCCATTCCCCGTGTATCACAGGAGGAGTTCTGCCCGGCAGAATCCTGCTTCCTCCTGTGCCTGTCTCATGTTCACTTGCGGGCCTTCCCTCCGATTCCCGGTTGCCCCATAGATCTATACCCACGACACACTCAGCGTTTGCTGTTCTCGGCACCCTTCCCTAATTAATAGTGAAGGTCCTGGCAAAACTCAGCGTTTCTGGGGCAGGGGAGGATGGATGGATGGAGGGCGCCTGGATTCTTGGAAATGGCAAGAAGGGAAGTGACTCTGGTCACACGTCCCCTGCATTTCTGCCATCCAGTATGGCAGTTACTAATGGCTTCTTACAGTCCCCCTTTCCTGCCTCCCTCGGCTGTCTTGGGACGCATCCTCAGTAGGCTTGGTTTCAGATGCTGACAGGTGAGAAAAGCGAATACTGAGATTGTCGCCTCAGAGTCCAGCGAGCAGTCGTAGTTGTGCTTGTGCCGAGCTCACTAGCGTGCTTGTCTCCGCTTTTAGCAGCTTGCGTCCTGGTGCATTGGGCAGCCGGGCAGTGGACCTTCCGTCTGGCAACTGCAGGCTGACGTGGGCAGAGCCGGAGCCACACAAGGAGGCTTTAGACCAGATAGTCAGAATAAACAGCCGCTAATCCTTCATACTCCATCTTTCGGGGAGATTCACCTGGAATGTTCAGGATACTTCCCTTCTTTGAGTTTGTAATGTTCTAAGTGTTCTGTGGTCCCAGTGCTTGGCCCTGTACTTTGAAGACAAAATGGAAAGTGCTTTATTTGTCCATAACAATACTGATAGCCACACACACAGCCTTGGAGTTCTGGCCTGCTGGGGTTCTGCCAGTAACCATTGTTCCCTGAAAGGCACACAGAAGGTTCTCATGGGATGTCTCCTGCAGACATACTCTCTCCTCCTCCTATCCCTCAGGGGACCACACTCTGTTTCAGCAGGAAGTTCCCGCTGTCCTCGGGTCCCCAGCTACAGCTGGAGAGACATCACAGCAGAGCCCAGGCCCACGACCTCGCTGGGCAGGCAGCAGATGCTAGACTTACTTGTTCCGTACTTAAAGTCCTTTGCTTAGAGTTTGGGGGTGGAGGGGTCAAAGCAGCAGGCTGTTAGGAGGAGGAGAGTAATTTGACCTCTGACCTCTGACATTGATCGGGCTCAGGGTTGCTGGGTGTTTGTTTTCTGATTTGATCGAAGCCTTGTGGTAACCACTAACTCTCCCTTATTCTTCTCTTGCAGATGAGCTCACAGTACCTGCACTTTACCCCAGTAGCCCTGAAGTGTGGGCCCCGTACCCTCTGTACCCAGCGGAGTTAGCGCCTGCTCTTCCTCCTCCTGCCGCTTTCACCTATCCCGCTTCACTGCATGCCCAGGTAATTTATGCCCATCGGCCACCTCTCCACTCACTCCACCACCAGCCCTTTCAGACCCGGTTCCCCAGAGCACACCATGTGACTAACACCTACCCAGCTAACAGATCCACCTCCAGGAAGTGAATGATTCCCTATATGACAAGCTGACACCCCTCCAGGACCTCCAAGGACCCGTCTGACAGCCATGATCCCACCCACTGCCTGATGTCTGCCCCAAAGGACACCTCTCTCTTCCCTAATGATCTCACCCTCATGTCACACGCGAAGACCGAGCAGGCTTCCCTCCTTGGCTCCCAGCTAGCAAAAGGGCACCACAGGGGCATGAGTGTGTGTGTGTGTGTGTGTGTGTGCGTGTGTGTGTCTATGTGTCTGTGTGTTTGCATGCACGCACATGCATCCAGGATGGAAGGGAGGTGTGGACTTGAGGCACAGGTTTTCATGTGTGCTTGTCATGTATGAATTAAGAGGCTTGTTCTCTCATCCACAGGGAGCTGAGGGACCAAAGGGAAGCTTCCAGGAGGAAGCCTGAACCATATTTTAGGAAAGGCACAAGCTTGTTTATTGCCGTGTGTAGGAAAGGTACATGGCACAGGTAGTCATCTGCTACGTGCTTTTCTTGCTTAGTTAAGAACAGTCTGAGGCACACAAATGCTTCCTCTCCCCTGGAGGCCATGGTTCCCCGAGATCTGTCTCCTGTGAGGATAGTAATCTGAGCTAAGCTTCATCCTTGGAAGTAACCCCTCATTTCATTGGCCTGTGGAAAGCGCTGGTCGTTAACAGTTAACAAGTGAAACACAATTCCATATTCCTCACTAATATATGCCACTCCACCTGGCCTTTTAAAACATGCCAGGCTGTGGGATGGAGAGATGGCTTATGAGGCAAAGGTGCCTGCTGCCAAGCCTGACGACTTCTGGTTGTCCTTGACCTTCCACACGTGCCTGTGAGGTGTGTACATACATACGGGCATGCTAAACAAATACAGTAAGTCTTTTTCAATTGTCAGGCCAGTCAGGTGGGGTGTGTGTTTATTTTGCCTGTATTTGTTTCCAGTGCCTGATGAAACATGTTTCACAGAACAATCCTGATTAAGGCTTCTATAAGCAGCCCCAGTGAGTGTCCCCAAGCCACCACGTCAGGAGCACTTAGGGCCAGGCACCCTTTGACTCTTAATCTGACACATCAGTGCTTTTCTTGCCTGCCTTGGCAACTAGCCTTCTGAGCTGCTCTCCCAGGGCCTCTCGGCTGCAGGCAGACAGGAAGCCCTCAGCGCCTGAGCCACAGGCCAAAATATCCTCCACTGGGGAGGGTACAAAGCAGTGTAGGGAATGAGGAAAAACGTGCCGAAGGTGGCAGCAAGTGGCTGGCAGTGGTCCAGGAAACTGAAGTCAAGGACCAGGCGTGCCCTTTGCTTTTCTGTGCTGTGCCCAGTAACCCTGCCTCAGTGTTCACTAACATAGCTGACAGAAAGCAAGCAGGCAGGTGACAAGCTAAGTCATGGCTGTTTATCAGTAAGTCCTTTATATTTTTGGTCTTTGTTGGTTGACAACAAAGAGCACCTAAAAGCCCCTTTTGTGTGTGTGCGCCCCATACCGCATGTGCCCGTGCTGTGCCCCTCTCAAACTAGAGTAAGTAGGTCATTAGGGACACATGCCATATGACGATGCAAGGTTGCACGTAGTCGACAGAATCTGTGGCTTTGGGCAGTCAGCAACCGAGCCATTCACCACTGTCCTGGAGTCAGGACCTGGCAGTGTCCAGAAAGACTGGGGACCGCTGGCTCTGGTCAGGATGGAATCAGGGGTGATCTGGGGGGTGAAGGTTCTAACAAGGAAGCCCACGCCACTGAGAAAGGATTGGACAGTACAAGATTAGATGGCTGTTGGCCATGCACCTTACTGGCTTGCATCACCTAGATGGCCCCCTTCTCCTGAGACATTGTTCCCAGCCGGGAATCCTCTTGACTCAGCCATCAGCCCTAGATCGGGCGGAACTCTGACCTGCTGGTGGTGAGGTCTGTGTCTTGAAATCCGACTTCTCCCCTGGAGTCCCTTAAGAGAACATTCTTGTTGAATGTATTGGTCCGTGTTGGGACTCGGAGTGAACCAACTGGTAGAGGCTTTATAGACAGCTGGTCTAGCCCGTTGTATAATGAGGAAACGGATCTGAGAAGATGGAAAGTTGCCCCCAAATCACAGTGCTTCCAGAGTGACTAGAGTAAATGTCACCTGTTCTCCTTGCTGACTAACACAGCAAAGCGCTGGCTCGCCAGAGACTTAATGGAATTTCGGAGAGGCCTCACTCCAATGACTCCTTGGAACTTTTCCCTCTAAGTAGATGAGAAATCTGTCAGAAGAGACTTGGAGGCAAAGATGGCTTCCGAGATGCTAACTGGAGGGAGCAGAGTGGGCGGCCCCTTAGTAGATGATTGGTGTTTTGTTCTGGAAACTTAATGTTTTGGAGAGTCTTCTAATTTTACTTTTTTTATTTTTAATTTTTTTGGCAATGTTGTGCTCTATTTTGAGACATGGATTTTTTTTTTTTCTTCTAGTGTTTCTCTCCAGAGGCAAAGCCCAACACACCTGTCTTTTGTCCACTTCTTCAGCAAATTAGATTTGTCTCTGGGAATGTGTTTGTCACATATCAACCTACTGCAGACCAGCAGAGGGAGCTCCCATGTTGAATTTATTAGCAAACCCTCCCCCCTTTTGCAAAAACTATTTCTTGATGATATTTGAGAGATTTCAATAAAAATTTTAAATCGGAGCAAAAAAAATGGTCTCGAGTAGACTACAGCGTTTTTTTGTTTTTTTGTTTTTTTTTTTCTGTTTTCACTATGCTACAGTTTTGGAGCAGAGGTGTTTAATCTCTGGCTGAGGTTTGTGAGGACCAGGCCCATAGCAACTAAGTTCTATGTCCCATGGGAGCAGACTCCGAAAGAGTACTCCAGAAGACTGTGCCCAGTGCCTGGGCCTCATCGACACTGCTGCCTGCTTCTGGAGCTCCAGAGCCACCTGAGCTTCACACTGGAAGATGCTTTTACCAACAAGTCATCCGCTACCAGATGCGCTTGCATCAGAACGAGGCTGATGTATCTCGATAGTGGACGGGTCCTCCCTGCCTTCCTGCTCAGCTCCTAAGGAAGGGAGGAGCCATGAAACGGGACCTGCGGGACATTGAGAATGAGTTGGATCCCATTTCTGGTTGAGTTCTAGTCACAAGCCATCCTCAGCTCAGATTTAAAGGTCCTTCTGTGCTATCAAACTCCAGCAGTTTTGATCCAATGGTGGGGAACACCTGTCATCCGTGTGCTTAGGCGGCAGAGGCAGAAGAATCCAGAGCACCTAGGCAGCCTGGGCTTTAGTAAGACTTTGACAACTCCTACCTCCCTTAAGTTGGATAAAGTAACAGGACAGCAAAGTGCGTGTACTGCCGTAGCATTTTTACAGAGGGAAGCGTGACTCTGTAGCTACTGAGATTTCTACCATTAGCGTATTTAAGTGATCCTGCGCTCTACCCTCACAGCCGTTGATGAGTGCTGTTTATAAAATACATTGAGTCATTGGGTAACAGATACTGTTTCATCTACCGTTTCTGGAAGGTGAAGACAACATATAGACCTTCCATCACCACCTCTTGGCAGTCTGCCTTTTGAATCTGCTGGTCTCACCTCATGGCAGAAATGGAGCCCCACCCCCACCCCCCACTAGAGGCAGCCCCAGAGTTGAGCCTGAAAGATTCTCAGGGGAGCGGGTCTGAGAGAAAGTCCCTAGTCTGCTGTTTCAGGGAACCCCTTGAGCGTGTGTTACTGTGCCTTCCCACTCACTGTAGCTGCTGGTTGCTGAAGGGAAGCCTCCCCTGAGGGACAGACACTTTGTAAATTATAGCAGACTTCTTGGGGTGTGCATCTTGAAACGTCCGTGAGACACCATGGAAACATTTTAGAGGTTTAACTCCAAACAAATTGAGAACTAGTCCACAGGAAATTGCCACAGGCAAACACAATAAAGAACTTAGACAGACAGACAGACAGACCTAGAGGCTGTCTGGGTTATCTGCAGGTCTGTACCCATTGTCACAGAGCTGAGTGTTTATTCAGTGGAGTGTAACTCTCTTCTTTTCCATTGTTGCCGTGTGTGGTGTGCACATACGTGGGTACACATGGGTGTGGAAAACTGGGACTAATGAGGGCAATCATGTTCAGTCTAGACTCAGTACAGGAAGGACCAGACTCAAGCCCAGAGCTCACTGACACGGTGGGTCTCTCTAGCCAACTTGCTCTGGAGAATGCCCCACCGCCATCTTTCAAGGCAGAATTAAAGAACACTCTAACCACTGAGCCATCTCCCCAGCCCCATAATAAAACTCACAATAATTGGATTACAGGGGTTTTTGGTGGTGGTTTTAATTATTTATCATCTTGATGTCAGTAACCACTGCCCTCTGAAGAACAGAGAACACAGACTTGAGGCTTGGGCACACAAGGTGTAGCCTCCGAGCACAAGGGTTTAGGGACAGGGACAAGGACCTTGGCAGATCATCTGGTACCTGGCAGCTATCATCATGGTTTTGGGCCTCATTGACGAAGGTTTCGTGCTGTGTTGCTCATCTTTGGCTCAGCAAGTAGTAGCAAGTTCTGTTGTGGTGACCAAGCCTGTCAAGACAGTAAACTAGGCCTTTCTGTCCCCTAGCAGGAGTTTAATACTTTAGTAATATCCTTTCTCAGAAGTCAGGGAGGGACATGGAAATGTGGGGTGCATACTGCTATGAACCACAGCTCCTGTCAGAGCCCTGCCTTGTCGTTGAACACTTGCTGTCCCTCCAGGACTGCCCTAGAGGGCTGAGGAGAGCCTTGGCCATGCTGAACGGTGGCTGGAGCACTTTGAACATCTCCCTGACCCTGCAGCTCTGGGAGGTCATATTGCAGAAAGCACCCGCACATACTGTGACTCCACAAAATGCCAGTCTTCAGTGCCTGGCAGGCTTTCTGGAATGGGAAG